AAGTGTGAAAAGATACTCTTTTGGGATTTGGGTAAGTTGACTCTTTAAGGATTGATTGTTTACAGAATCAAACACAGTAGATGTACAATGTTTTTTGACCTCTTTATCTCTGGTTTTCCCTCTTAAAGGGGCATTTCACCAAGATTATATGTCAAAATCAGTTTAGTTGTCTTTAGTTATAATCTAGATGTAGGAACTAATACACAGTCTGTAAAAAATGTTCCTCTGAGAAAACTTGAGTAATCTAGGTTTAATCAGTCTCAATCAGTCTTTAATAGAGCTCCATTACAAAACTACACGGCATGAAATACATGGGCGTTTATGATGTAGGTAGGATCTAAGAAAAGACACAGTTGTATCAAGAGAAATGAAGAATTTGAAGCTTGACCAATACAAGGGACTTTAAGTCAGAATATCTAACATGAATCTGTCTCTCACAACTCCCAGAAGAAAGTAGTTTTGGCCTGTCTGCCTTTTCTGTCAGAGCTTCCCCGGACTGGAACAATTTACTGCAACACATAAGAAACTGTGCCAACAACCATTCCTTTTCCACAACATTAAGAGCCTGGTTTATTAGAAATCAAACTTGTTAACACAAGAACAGTGATTGTTTTTGTATTGCTTGTCTTGTCATTACAGTCCAAAAGCTGCTCCTGCTTATTACAGTCTGTACATAATATCCACACTTCACCAGGCCTAACATTGTGCTGTCATGCTATTTGTTGATTGCTGTCATGATACTGTTGGTAATGTGTGTCATAAGTGCTGTCTCTCTTGTCTGTGTAATTCAGGCTCTGTTTGTATCTGTTTTTATTGTTGACTGTATTGTCCAATACTTTCAACTATTAGAGATGAAAATTGACCTTTCTGGCTAGATATAGTATATGGATGTGCAATACTAAATCTCTGGAGTGCCCATTTAAAAGCGTAGTTCACCAACGTTTCACTGCTGACTCAAAAAAAGTTTAAGAAATAATGCAGCAAAACCAGAGATATCCTTATTTTTATTCCACACATTCTTTCCCATTAAATCCTTGAATCCTTTGAATCCTTCCTTGTTCCAAATTCTATATGGTAAACTTATACGACATTAAGTGAAATATTCAGACCAGAGATGTGATGTTTTTTAGGGCTGCACCATTAGATGAAATGAAAATATGATCTGCACAATCTAATAAACATTTCCCCACTAACAGGACATGCTAGATATATTTGTAAAATCTTTGTATTATCTTGAGAATTTAGAATACAGCTTGTTGCACAACATACATAATGGGCCTTCTGCTGGGCCTGGCAGACTTAAAGTGGATAATGGTGCTCTAAACAACATTTCAGGAAGGTATGAAAGCGAGGATGAGAGGCTTCTAAGAAACATCAGACTCCTCATAGACGTTAGCTGTGCTAAGGTGAATATCAGTTCATCTTTTAATAAAACACACATACATGGATGTTTATGTGACTCCGGGGCTCCTTCCCTGTTTTATCTGGATACAGAAAGACTGAAACACAACACCCTCCTGCTAATGCACTTTGTCTCTCCTGATAAATAAATTCTACTGCAGCAGCTCATGGCGGGCAAACATATTAAGACCAACCCTAGCTGAGGTTTAAAGGAGACCATGTTTTGTTTAGTTATTGCTCCTGTGAAACTCAGTGATAGCAAAGAGGGCTTTCAGTACATTAGTTCCAAGGCAGCTCCTGTATTGATTTTCCCAAAGGAAAATGCGAAGCTGGTCCTAATTGGAGTTTCATAGCAGAGACCCTTGATGAGTTATTCATTTGGAGCACTTCATCACCATCCATATGGTTCCTATTCAGGTCATTTTGCTAAGGGAAAAAAAACTGTTCAGGCAACTGCTGCATCTTCAAACGTATTTAGGACATCTGCCCAAAATCTGTGTTGTTTTGCTTTTTGTGAAAAAGCTACAAGAAATGTCTGGATGAGCTCTTTAGCACTGATGGCATTTTTATGCAGAATATACGCAGGCATCTAAATGCTGAGCACCGTATATGTATATTGTTTTGGTTCTGTTTTCCTCCAGGCTGTGTTCTGCTGTCATTTAGTTTCCATAGCACTTGCATCTTAGTTTGTCGGTTTGACATTTATTTTTGTTACTTGTTTTTCTTCTTTGATTTTTATCTATGATTTGTTTTGAAGTCAGAATCTGATGACCCATTTGTTTTTGTTTGTCTCAAATGCAACAATTTTTTTAACCATTACCTTTACCAGTATTCTATCACAGTACAACTAAAGTAAAATAAACTCATTTAGCTTATTTGGTAACATACTATTGGTAATAAATGACCCAATAAATTGAATGTATTCTTGTAATTTTGTATGGTAAACGTGTCATTGTCACATCAAGGGGGGTTATGGGTATTTTTATCCAAAGTTTATACTTATTTTAACTCTATTATGAAGCTATTAATAATGGTTGAAATTATGTTTTAGTATAGACTGGGGTGTATGTAGTCTTTGTTCACCAGTGTTGGGCAAGATGTTTAATCAGTTACACATTAAATGTTACTCACTGAAAAAGAGAGTTAAATTCTGCAGCCCATCACCACTCTGCTGCTTTGCGAACACCTGTAGATCAGCACTTTTCACATGCAAATCGTCTGATTAGTTGTAACTCATTTATAAATGGAACAATTAAAAACACTTTTTTTTCTCCCTCCACTGATGAACAGACACCATCCCTGAGATGATACACTCCCACTTGACGACAATATAAATGATTGCTTAAATGAAACAGCTTGTTTTCCTCTTCTTCTCTGAGCTTCATACATCCAACCACCTGTCAGACTTTTGGATAAATAAAACTGTAAAGCATTAGAGGGGGGGAAAGAAGATGACGTATATAAAGAAGAAGAAAAAAACTCCACTCGCAATCAATATTCTGCCTTATTTTTCATTGTAATTATCTCTGCACTGAAACAATAATGAGCTGTGAGGATACTTTGCATACCAATTTTAGGCAGTTATCACAATGAATAGGGATGATGTGAGGCCCTGATCGCTCTTTGTGAAAGAGTGCGTTGTCAATCTGATTTGGCATGGCGCAGATTGCTCGGGTGAAACAGTTTTTGATAAAGTCCCAGTGGAAGAGTTGATTGGATCTCCTGGAACACTGGGTGTCGGTTCGGCGTCGCTCACTGTTGATGTTTCTGAGGAAGCCTTGAAATCCATTAAGCTGTAACAGTATTACCATTCATCTCAGAGGAGGGGAGGCTCTCCTGCTGCAGCCAGACGACTACAGGAGTCTTTTTTATTGGCACATGTGGCCATCAGCACTGAGCTGGACAATCACAGAGCCACATTTCGGGGACAAAAGTCTCCTTTCACACTTGGACAGCCATGGGCCGCAAAAAAGTCTAAATTCAATTACAGAGATAGCATCGGCAAACACGTACAGACACACAAAACCAAACTCATCCACACACACTTAGAGACCACAAACACATGCACATACGGCTGCATGCACAAACATGTATACACACAGACACACACACACACACACATACACACATACATACATACAGATGAAAGGCAACAAAATGGCCACAAACCCTTCAACTCTTGACAGAAATCAATTTCCAACTTGGAACTTGTGCTGAGGAGAGACACTAATCGGCGGGCAGATAAGGGCTTGTTTGCTCCTGATAAGACAAGCGACTGCGACACATGTCCCATAAATTGAGATTTGCCAGATTTGCCTTTGGGGTTGTTGGGGAAAAGATAGGCTGTAGAATGAGGAGGGGTTGGAAGGGCACAGTATCCGACAGTCGACTGATTTCAATGCCAGAGGACCATAGTCCTAAAGAAGATTTGTGCTCTAAATAGAGCTTGGCAATGTGGGTTAAATATATTTTTGAATACCATAATATTAATAATACTTGATTGATTGGTGACAAACTAAAAAAAAATTTACAGTCAGGTGTTGGGCTGCTACAAGCCTTCAACACAGCTCCAATGGCCCTTGGCATAGATTCCAAGTCTCTGAACCTCTCCTGGAGGGATAAACACTATTCTAGATATTCCCTTATTTGGTACTGTGATGATGGTGGTAGAGAGAGACAGAGCTATCTAATATGTAATTTCTCCCAGTCATGTTCATTTGGGCAGAGATGTGGTGTCTTTGAAGGCCATAGCTTATGAGTCACATCCTTTTCTTACTCACCAAACTATTCAGTGAGCCTGTACCATGTATGAAAACATCTGCAATACTTATGCTTATCCACTCATTTATTCAGGTTTTATGTTTAATTAGCAATAGATGTATCACAATATAGCAAAGGTTTGGAAAATCACATGTAAAGTAATCGTACTGAACACCAGACTCTGGTGTTCTAAGGTGCTGCTCACCTATTCACTATTCCAGCCGTGGTTATTTTGCCTCTCTCATCCATTAAGGGAACTCTACTTCCTGCAATGGCACCGAATGCTGGCAGTGGACGTAAGTCACAAGGTGTAAAATTGTCTTGTATGAATGTTTCCTGAATAAATCAATTGCTTGGATACTAAGCTGTTTTAATTACAAATAGCTTGGAATTTGTACAGCAGAAATTTAAAAAAACTATTTCATTTGAAGTTGAGAAACGAATATTGATTATTGCCCAGTCCTAGCTTTAAATACGCCTCTGTGTGCCTTTTTTCAAGACATAAATTATGTTAAGTAAAAGTGTCCTTGAAGCAAGGGCATGTATGTATTATTAAATAATTATGCAACTTTTTAGAAAAGAGCTTTGACCAGTGACACAGAACACAAAACCTGGGAAACTGTGAGAAAAAGAAAAGTCTCAGGACACCCTCATAGCTCACCTGATATAGCTGACGCCCCATGTACCCAGGCTGAGTTCCCGCTGCAGCGGCCATGGGTTCCATTTCACCTGTGGCACTTTTACTGTGTGTTCCTCCCTTTCCTGTCACTATTGATTTAAGGCAAAAGCCCCCCCGAAAAAAAAATATATTAAAGGAAAAGTTAAATCTCTCAACTTACATCAATGACGCTCCACTGCTCCACTACGATGGCGTCATATGTCGGGGTGGATACGTTCGGCTCGCTCTCGCTCCCTTCCTGGAAGATGAAGACACTTTCCACCGACTTAGGCAGCATATCTGAAGAGGAGAAAGGAAAAAAAATCCAGCCGTGAAAAGCGTATTTACTGGATGGAGCGTGTCTGTCTTGTCTCTGCTGCCGCTGCTTTAGGCCCTCCAGGCCAGAGGAAATGGAATGATATCACTCAGCCACATTCACACACAACCCTTTATTACATAGCCAGTGGTGTGGGCCATTTGTATGAGCAATGTGCACTTATACATTATGCAGGGAGACAGTGTAAAAGAAAGGAGCAGGTATTCCCCTTCTGGGATGTTAAAAAAGAAGAGAAGACATTATGCGCTACATCAGTGGTTTTCAGAGAGCCCAGAGCCCTGCTGGTTTTCATGCTAGACGGCTAAACAGAGGCTAATTACAGCTGGGAAGCAAGGTGAATGCAATAGCTGATAGGATTCAGAGGATCAGGACTGAGAACCACCCCTTTAGAAAGGATGGACAGATTTTAGTGATGGCAAAATGTAGCCACTGATTTAATGAAGTCAGTCCATAAGGCATTAAAGCATAAATCCTTTTGCTAAGCCTGCATAATTCACCTTAAAAAGAGTTGAATTAAGTGAGCCACATAAAGACACTGACGTTGATGCTTTAGGCCACTAGTGAGATTGTGTGCTGCTGACCAAATAGATTTTCTAAGCCTCTCTTCTGTTGGAGGCTAACAATCACAGGATTGGCATCCGAGACAGAAACACCACTCCGGCTCCCGTGAGCCGGGACCCCTCTCCACCCAACGTCTCTTGTTATTCATTTGATGCACATGCACATTACATGCAGACACACACACAAACACACACACACACACACACACACACACACACACACACACACACACACACACACACACACACACACACACACACACACACAAACACACACACACACACATATACACACGCACGCACAGACACAGACACAATACACGCCCCATGGTCCAGTCTTCCCGGCTGGCCTGAGTGCTTTCTCATTACTCCCACACCATTTACACACTAATACAGTTTGCCGGGGCCCAGGCACCAATACGAGACACTCCACATTTCATTACTGGGCCCTAATAATAGGGGGATGAGAGGCGGCTGGAGAGCCCGTGGAGAGAGGGAGGGAGAGGAAGATAGAAAGAGAAGGAGGGAGTATGCAAGACAGAGGGAGAGATAGCATGAAGGGATGACAGGCTCTTTTATTTCCCCCTCCCTGAAAACCCATTTAGGACCCATGCACGCTCAATTGAAGACATCTCTCAGACATCTACTGGCTCTCTCAAATACAGACATTGCCGTTGTTCACCCCATCCATCCATTCGTGCTTTCTCTTCCTCAGCTCCCTCCTTCTCCCCCTTCCTCCCCCAGTCCAACGTTTCCCTATCTCATTCAGCGGGCCTTGGCATACAATTGGAAAGAAGGCTTTTTGGAAAATGTGTGGCACCGAGGCCCACCATCGGTTCCCTGCCAGCATGACAGGGATCACTCAGGTGAGATCGACACAGGGTTTCTGTCTCGTTGCTCTAGAGGGAGCAGCCTGTCTCTGGTGATAATGCAAACAGAGGCTGAGCATAGGAGAGAGGAAGAGGGAGAACGAGGGAAGTGGATGAGAAGGAGTTGGTTGCTGGGGGCGTTGAGTCCATCAGGGGAATGCACCGGTTGCGTGCACGAATAAACATTATCTTGCGCCTGTTGACTGAGAGCTGAGCTGAGCAGCCGGCGGGCCGACTGAGAATAAGTTGTTTACACTTGCAAAAACCACTGTGCGCCCTCAGTAAAATTGTTCTCCATCCCCCCGTGACTCACATACTCAAGGTCGCAGGGCGAGGCATGCAAATACAGTCACACTTAAAATAGGGAGTGACAGCATTGGGACTGAGAGACACAGAAGCAAATGGAGGGCGAGATTCAGATAGCTTGAGAGGCAGGGTGACGACTAGTGACACCCGGTGACACGCAGCAGCTGAAATCAGCACCCACATGACACAGGATCAACAACAGGCACCCGTGCGTGCGTAGACAGTGCTGACACAAAAGAGACTGAAACTTAAAGTCCTTTGAGTTTGTAGTAGTTTTTGGTGTGTGGGTGTTTGAATGTAGACGTGAGGTCTCTGGCTGCACATATCAAATCAGTTTGGAAGCTGTTTGTTCCTAATATTCATGGACATGTTTGCAAACCTGCTGTTGTACATTGATTTCTAGCACACAGTGTTTTGAACAAGCAAACAGCAGACACAGGAAGTTGTTCCCATGAAGCCATGTGCAACTGTGCATCACCTACTGCTACAAAGTCAGCCTGGCTCCAGAACACTTTTTCTCTAGGGCTGCAACTAATAGTTATTTTCATAATCAATTAACTAATATTTTCTCGGTTAATAATTTAGTCTACAAAAATTTGAAAATAGAAAACTTCTCATGATGTTCTGTCAAGAAATTGACCCATCTGATAAGCTAGAACCATTAAATGCATGGATCCTTTACTTGAAAAATGACTTAAATGATTAATTCATTATCAAAACAGTAGCTTTATTATATAGCTATATTTTTTTTTCTTCTGCAGACTGACTAATGGTTGCAGCTCTACTTCCAACTAACATTTAAAGTTTCAAACTATTCAGTTCTGTTTCAAGTAGCTAAAACACTGGTATGGTCCTTTAAATAACTATTAAGAGCATTAGCTTGTGTCACAATACAGTAACAAAGACACATTTTTGACTGGAAAAAAGGAAGGGCATGAATTTATTGCCACACTAAAAGTTGAACTGATGTCTCACAGCGTGTTTTAAAGATGTCTGTGTAAAGATGTAGGTGGTCAGTGAACAGGCAGGTCCAACCAAACTGTGTGCCAAAACTATGAGCAGAAATCAGGACAGTTTGCAGACTCAGATGTCCAACAGACAGCTGGAGTGAGTAGCAGAGGTGATTCTTTCTCTGTCCTGAAATGCCCTCAAGCTCTTCTAAGCCTCCGTAGTGTTGTTAAAGCGGCATTATTTTTCGTGTTTTATTTTGGCAATCTGTCTACCGTTATGTTCTCTTAGCCCTGAGGACCGACTGGAAGAAAATATGTTTTGAGTGTCAAACATTTAGTGTATTTAGCAATATATTGGAGAAAGAAGCAATTGTTTGGAGCTTGTTGAGCATATGGATTAACAGTGGAGAAGTATATTATGCTGCAGGTGTAGTTTGAAAGGTCTCCATGGACATTTTTAGGTTTTTTGGTGTGTTCACCATTGCAATTTACTGTAACAGCTTGCAGTGGGTTACAACGGAGTGCTTAACAGGCAGATATTCAGTGGCGTTTTCATGCAATGTAAAACTGTACTGAATCATTAAGTTAGAACTGTGAACTAGATGTTTATCGGGATTATGATTTATATATCTAGTTAAATACACTTTTACTATAATTTAATCTAGTGGAATTACATATGTGTTTTTCTGCTTGCACAGATCAGTATATACTGTATGTGTTCAAGTCCAGCAGACCACTGACGAGCCGGAAGGTGACCCTGCCCCAGGTCATGTCTGCTGACATGATTTAAACATGTGTGCCAGGCACTGCCTCAGAGAGCTGGAGACAGGCTGCTGACAGCTTATCTATATTTCAAACAGGACGAGTGGACATCCAGAAAGAGGGACAGAGAGAGAAAGAGAGAAAGAGACGAGGGTGTGTGGATTGGATGTGGCTCTTCCCTGCGGAGCCAAAGGTTTGGCAGCTGGCAGGCTGGTACCTGTGGGTTACCGGGCAGACTTTAGCTGGTAGAAAAGGAACAGAGGATGGACAGCATGATGATTGGATATCAGGGGTTGTTTGCAAATGTATAGTGCTTTTGTTTTGGCCTGAATACAGACGATATAGTAAAACTACAAGTGCGACAGTAGCTCTGCTTTATTAATTCACACATTTCCAAAATGTGAATTTTAAATCTTTACTACAATTCATTAATTTCCATTTTCCACTAAGTTACAGCTGATATGTTCTCACACTGCATGAGCCCATCCATGTGCGCAGGCCAGAGTGAACCACGGGGTGTGCTTTGATGCATTCAATGGGCTTTAGCACTTTGGTTAACACAGAAATATTGAGGAAGAGAAATTTGCTTTCTCACAGCTGGGATTTATCCTGCATCCAATGTGGGAATTATACAGTTATACATTTTTAACATGAGAAAATTTCAAGATAAATATATTAATTAAAGCTAGTATGGGAGAAATCCTCTCCAAAAGTCTTTCATGTAAAACATGTTAAATAGTTAATGAACTGCATATCTAACACACACTAATGGCAGTGAGCTAACACGGTGCTGGCCTGACCATGAGTAGCTAGTTCAACCATTGAGAGCAATTTGGAGTTCTGTGACTTTCTCGCTTTGACATGTGGACATGAAGAGCCATGGATCAAACTGCATGGGTCACAGAACGCCCTCAGAAATATGGCCTCTGTGTTATTTGTGGATAATCTCTAATGTTGTCACACCCTTGGTTGAACTTTTGCCCACAGTGATGTATAACAAAGGGATTATCCCAGTGCTCATGAGAATCTCAACAAATAAATGTCACCTTTTTCACTTTTTGTTTTTACAGTTAAGTTAAGGTATTCTGCTGAAATTCATTTGAGCCCCTTGACTGTGAACATGATCTATTTTTCTGTTTTAACAAGTTTGTGTGACTGTTTAGCCGACCTAAATCACGGTGATTCCTGCAGCTGATTTGGCTTGCGTTTCACTTTAAATAAAATAAGCTTTGAGAGGTTTCGACCACCTGAGTGCATCTGTTGTATAGTCATATGCCCAAAATCACTGAACAGAGAAGGCAAACCAACTAACTAACTGCATTAAGTGAACACAGCAGTAAAACACTCCTGTCTTGTGACTACCACTCAGAGGTGGAAAGTACACATGCTGTGCTGTCAAAACCTATATACACATAACGGCAACCACGTAGAAAATACACGTGTGCATGCAGTTTATGTGCAAAACTATGCACACACATGCACAAACACGGCAGTTCCAATTCCACCTCTCGTCAAC